ACATCTGATGATAAGCTGATCGAACGTTTCAGCAGCAATGAAATTCATGCAATAATTATTGCAAGGCTTGAAGCGGCGTCGCTTCCAGCTGCCTAAAGCTATTGCAGTCTACTTTCTCTGGTTTTGCAAGCCGCTCGAACGGCTAAGTTGGGTGCCGGCCGCTCGCACGGAGTAACTCCGCCTTTGGACTTGTCGCTCGCACACTGATAGATAAGTGCCCGAGTAGATTGGACATACACAGTTTCTTTACGGATATTAAGTCCTTCTTATGGGCTTGCTCTCCTTTTATCTTTTCAACCACTTTTCATAGGTTAGTTTTATAGATCCATTTAAGATCTTCAAGATTTCAGCTCCTTGATCCCATTAATGAACTGCATATCATAATCGCATATGATTATTACAAGAAAAATAGATGTAAATTCACACAAAATATACCGCGTCCTTGATAAAATGAGCAGCAGCAATTATGACTTCCTTTCTGACTTAAACCTCAATGATTCCACTGATAAGAGAACACTTTTCCAGCTTTCTTCTTTATTAGAGGGATTCAAAGTACATAAATTCGACAATATCTAATCTTTGGAAATTCGAAAGGTATCTTCACATATCGCTATTAAAAATATGTATATGAAGTAATCTATACATGGAATAGAGGGCTATCACGAGGAGACTACTTTCAAACATTGTCATCGTTTCAAGTTATAGTACATAACAAATTGAAAAAAAAAACTGCTGAGAACGAATGTCTTGATACTCAAGAGAATCTGATAATAATAAATTTTATAGTAGAGATTTACTTGACTGCAACCGTTTCCGCAGCTTCCACATCAAGTTGTTTTCCTAGGTATTCCCAATTGTGCACCATAAGCTTTTGAACAGCAAGCAAAGCGTGGTAGCGAACATTGGGGTCTTCTGCAGACAATAGTCGCATCACAGCTTGCTTACCTTGATACTGTTCAATCACACTGAAACTTTTTCAAATTTACGTGCAGTATGGAATATCGAAAAGCAAAAGAAGAATGAGAAGCGTAATACAAGCAAACATACGTTTTACCCCTGGGATAATGGCGGACGTACTCCCCAACATCATGAGCAGCTACGCAGAGAATCAGTGGATCTTGGCTTGTTTCTAGGAGTCGTATCAGGATTCTAAACCCCACTTTAAAAATTAAAAAAGCAACGCCTATGTGGAGATAAGGTTACTTAATGAGCTCGAAGTTCTTCTCGTTGAATCGAGGTGCGTTTTCTCGCCAAAATTTGTCCGACTTATGCACAGGTGACCATTGTAAACGACCAGAGCGAACCTATCAATCAAAAAGAGAATACAAATAGAGCAAAGCGACAGTTACTACAAAAGCACACTATTATTCTTGAGTCAAAGCAAGGATAAAAGTCACAACTAACCTCACTGCAGTACTCGTCAAAAGAGCTTAGATCTTGAACTGAGGATTGGAGTTGAGAACTAAGGTATTCAACGTCTTCCTAAAAGAAGCTTGAGAAAAGTGACTAAGGAATAGAGTGCTGAATTCGAAGAAATGCATCAAGCATTAAGATGAACAAGAGCTTTAAGTGAGCTTTAGCAAGTTTAAGATGAGCTTCGTTACTAGAAAGAAAAGAACACAATATTGAAAGAAAAATTGATTCGATGTAAAATCTACTACTGTTTAAGATGCGAAATACTGCGAATACATCCTGGCGACCGAGTTCGGAAAAATCTTAATCTATGCTAACCTTAACTTCTGCTACCTTCATGATTACTACTTATTAGATGAGCAATTCGGAAAACTATGAGAGAAACTATCAGCAAATCACATATTGCTGCCTATTCTCGCAGCATCAAAGGCGTACCTCAAGTTCAGTGTCCCCATATTTCTTGGCGTCTGTAAGCTCGAGTGTCTTTAGTGTTTTGCACTGCACCATTTGTAGAGCTGCCTCCTTCTTGATTTCTCTTTCTTCGACTTTTTTTAGTATGTTGCTGAACGTTGCTATGATGATGCGGATTACCTAAGATGGATAAGAATTTTTCATCGGTTCGCAATGTACAATGGTGAAGAAGCGAAATACAGTACAACATGCAAAAAGAACATTGTTCGTTTGCCTTTTCTTTTGATGACTCAGAAAGTATGTCTCCAAGAGCTTGAATCACTCCAAGTGAAGGTGTGCGACGAGCAATATCAGGATTGAAGGTAAGGCACCAAAGCGCAAAAGCTAATTGGTACTGGAGTTGAAAGTTAGTTTTTCCGTTAAGCGCAGCAACAATAGATTGAATTCCTTCAGCTTCCATGAAGGCAAGCCTGAAATCGACCATCCAATAAAAAGAAATATAACATTATGGTAACATCCGCTTCACCTATCAATTTTCAATAAACAATCCATTCAAATTAGCAATAAAGTAAGGATTGAATTCTAAACAACTGAGCAAATCAGAAAAAAGAAAAAAAAACATAAAGATAGATATACAGCTGTTAAATGTAATGATGTAAAAAACTACATATGATGTGCAATTTACAACAACACGCACCTGTCACAAGCAGCGTTGCAAGTCACTAATTAATCTTAATAATCACTAAATCATTGAGATGCAGAAAAAAGAACAAAGAACTATACCTAGAATAAACAATCAGACACATACAATACATACAAACCTGTAAGGATCAATGCGTAACATCATTTGAAGACACCGCGCCGTGGTATTCATGTACTCATTAGTCTGAGATGAAAAATTATGATTATGTAAGGGCGGGAGCTGGAGATTAGTTGGATGAGAAAACTCACGGACGAATTCTTCAATTGATCCTTTAAAAAGGAAAAATAGTAGTTGAGTTCAGAACCTTCCATGAGAGTTGATCCAAAACAAGCGAGCTTGGCAATAATGGAGCTCATCTAAAATGTACACTTTTTTGGCAGAGATCTGTTGTGATTTCCTGCAGTATTATAGCAATAACCCTAAGCCTATAATACATGCAAAAAAGCACATCGCAAAAAGTATTCATTGAACCTGGTTGACGATGAAGTTGTCTTGTCGCTGAAGGATACCCAGGAACCAAGACCAGACCGTTCGCTTCTGTTTTCGTGCAGCATTATGAAATATCTCAACGCGGGTCTTGTCTTCCTTAACACCAAATTTCCAGAGATCCTACGGAGCAAAAACTTCATTTTAAAAAATTATACCTGAAGCATATCATCAAGAAGCGTTAAAACATAGCGCACATTCTGATCTTTAGCTACATTCGTGATAAGGTTCACGATAGTGCGAGCAGCCTGACCGTTAGCATCGTTCGCAGCTAAGACTACGTCCCTTTCCTCTTTGCTCTAGACTACACAAATAATCTACATGGCAAAAGTGTTCTTAAATAAAATACAATATAAAAAATACAATAAAGAATAACAGTAAGACAATAAAGCAAGCTCCGGAAACTTAATATTTCATGAAAAAGAAAATAATTGAAAAAAACAGCATGAAGAGAGCAACCTTCGCATTTTCGTAGGCCGAGATAAAGTTGTAGTCCTCTTGAGGAATCATCTGAGATCGCAAGTAGGATCCCCAGTTTGGTTTACTGGCGCGGACCTGAAGTTTACATGATGAGGTACACTGTTAAGAGCGTTAAGAGTGTTAAGAGAGTTAAATGTTAGGTAATCGAAATAAAATAGCTATACACTGAAAGCACCTCGGCAGCTTCAATTTGAAGCCTCGAAGTGGCATTGATCATGTCCACCGCCGGAATGGCATGCGCCAACTCCGCCATCCTAAAAAAAAA